TTCATATTGATGTTATAAAATTTGTTGGAATAAGCGGAAATAAATTATATGAATATAAATTTAATTTTTATGAAAAAAAATTTATTGAAACAGATTTCACAACATTTAATGATTACTTTGCTAATGAAGATCAAGTTACTTATAAAACCATTGTTATGACTGAATATAACAATTGTATTCAAACAATTCAAACATCACAACAATTAGGTATACTAATATTTTGTTAATATAAAGTATATTTTATATTACTGAGGAATTTTACCATTTATTATTATAAACTATGTTAGAAAACTATAGTCAAATAAATGGCATAGAAATGTATGAAATATTGGAAAAGTTAGGATCTGGTGGTTTTGGGGATGTGTTTAAAGCAAGAAATAAACAAAATGGAAATGAATATGCTATGAAAAAATGTCCATTATTTGGTAATATTTTTATATAATTAGAGTTATTCGATTTTAATTATTAAATATTAATTAAATTTAAAGGTTTATCAGAAAAATATAAACATAATATTTTGAGAGAAACTAAAAACCTGAAAAAATTGCGCTCACAATATGTCATTCAATATCATTATTCATGGATTCATAATAATTGTTTATATATTCTTATGGATTGTTTGGCCGGAAATTTAACACAACTTATGAAAAATAAGAAACAATTATTTGGAAAAATAATGACTGAATTTGAATATTATATTTCATATGAATTATTCAAACAATTGGTGGAAAGTGTGAAGTATTTGCATAAAAATCATGTCATTCACAGAGACCTCAAACCCGATAATGTGTTGATTTCTGAAAAATATAAACTAATTATATTAACCAATGAACCTCCAGAAATCGGACATCATAAGTATATAAACTTATGTGACTTCGGTTTGTCTAAAGAAGTGGATGTATTGAGTGATAGTTATAAACAAAGCGCTGCTAAACACTCCGCAGGTGTCGTCAATTATATGGCACCCGAAGGACAGACCACTGAATACAACCATTTAATAGATGTCTATAGTCTAGCACTCATTGGAGCGAAAATATTTGGTTTCGATTCAAACGATATCAGAGACGGAATGTATGTTATTAATAATAACTTATTATATAAATAAATATTATGTAAACTTATATTATATAATTTCTAGATTGGAATTTAATTTAAATGTGGAAAACAAAAATAAGAATTTTGTGAATAACTTATCAAAAATATACGGATTATTGCTTTCAATGAGTGTTAGTATATATACAAAAAGTTATGGGAAGACTGATTGGAGATTAAGACCCGAATGTGACGTGATTTTAGACAAATTAACGTATTTATTGATTAAACCGAATATTGAAAAAAACTACTCGTTATTTGAAAATATATTTGAAAACAGATTATTATTTTTAGATTATTTTCTTAGATGCCATAAAAATTATATTATTTATAAAACACCTTATGTAAATAATGGTAAATAATATTTTCACTAATTTATAAGTTTACTACATTACATTATATTATTAACGTAAATTGCATTCATTTTAATTTGTTTGTATTAAAATAGATTATGGTCAAACTCTCCTATCGTGTACAGATCAAAATCATTTAATAAACTTTGCTGCATATTATTTTTATAAAGTCGGCTACTCTAAAAAACTTTTTTACATATTTTTTAAAGCAAAAGATATATTAAACAACAAATTTTATTATATTCAAAAAACTCCTTGTTATGGTAAGTCATAAATTATTAAGTTATAAATACAGTATAAATAACTTTAACTACACCATGTGTAATTTTGTAATCAATCAAATCACGGGACTTATTATTGTTATTATAATTTACGTAGCTGTAATAATTTATTGAATAAAAAAACTTATTTTTAGCCCCCCATGAATTTGTATATATTTTTAAAGAGTATGTGATAACAGTGAAAGAGTTGAGTATATTGTGTAGATAACTGATAGAATACAACAAAAATGCATTGCTTTTTAAAGCCAGTGAAATCTGTGTCAAAATATAAGAGCCGGGAATCTCTTGATTCTGTGGCACTGTTTCTATGGATACGTCCATTAGATTGGGAGGTCTTTACTACATATAAGCAATTGGTTTATGAAGTTGTAATTACAAATTTATAAATAAAAGCTATTAAATATAAACCATTCGAGTGATCATCTTATATATTGTTTAAGGCAATCGTCATTTATAGTAAGTTTCAATTTAGCAGATACTTAGTGTAACCAGAAATATTAGATTGGTTTTATGCCGTATTACGTCGCAAATACTTGCAGTGCAATTATAAGTTGTTTTCACACAAGGGGTACAATTATATCCGGATATAAGTGCGGTAGGTTTTTAACTTTTAATTGAAATCTACATATAACCTAAAAATAGAATTATAATTTTTATTTTACGACCTATTGTTAAACTTAATAAATCTATTTATTTGTTATTAAATAAACTTTGTCACTAAAATTAAATTTAATTACAATAATCTGGCGATTTGATGATAACAATATAATTTTTTATTTTACGTGTTTTATTATAGATGTTATATTTGCATATTGTTATAAATTGCATTTAATCATTTACTGAACTTTTAAATAATTTTTTAATTAATTTTTTATAGATATGCACGAGATTAAGCATCATGTCACATTAATTAGGAAAATATGTACATTAAAGCCTCAATTTTTGGTTCAAATCTATAACTCTTGGATTGAAAACGATATTATTTACACTCAAATAAAATATTATCCGCAAACACTATGGGATGTCATATACGCAAAACACGTGATATATGGGTCACAAATCCATCACTCGTTGATGATTTTGATTGATTTCCTTATTTCACAACAATTGTTGAGACAATTATTACATTGTATTCAAGCAGTGATTGATTTAGATATTAATATTGATAACATTTCACTCAATATTAGACAAATTTTCATTACGAATGCTAATATAATGTCTCAAAATTATATGAAATTATATATTTTTGCTCCATCAGGTTTACCATTATTGAAAAGCAAAAATTATCAACTAATAAAAATCGTTAAAATTTTGGTTGATATCCAACTGTTATATTATAAGTAAGCAAAGAAAAAAGTGCGTTTTGATGCTTTCTTCACAGAAAAACTTAACTTTAGATAAAGTAATGTTTAATTCATTGAATGACTCAATGCTTAATAAACACAACTTTAATATTTCTAATAAAATAATTTGTTTTTTCTGTGAAGAAAGCTCCAAAACGCACTTTTTTTCTTTGCGTAAGTACATATATTTATTATAATATATTGCAATTAATTACATTAACTACAATTTAATATGAATAAAGCAATTAAGATTACTATAATTGGAATTATACAGTTTTTTTAAGCCAAAAAAATGAGGCTAAAACACGACTCTCCCTTCACTACATCCCTACTTTCCCTGCATTATACGCCATAGTGTGGGGCTCCATAGTATCTGTACCTGCATTAGCCCCACACTATGGCGTGTAATTCAGGGAAAGTAGAGATGTAGTGAAGGGAGAGTCGTGTTTTAGCCCCATTTTTTTGGCTTAAAATTACTGTATATGATTATAATTCAACATTACGTCTAAATTTGAACATGGTCATAAAGTTATTTGAGTTTACTGTGTCGTGATATAATTCCAATGTTTTTGACAACAATTAATATTTCCATAGAAAAAGCATTATCTCATTAAAATACCATTACTCCCATATACTTACATTGGCAATAGAATTATTATTGGCGTAGATTTTACATTACGTATGTTAAACAATTGTCAAAGTCTTATACTTAATTTAATTGAAATACATGTAAAAGCATTTTCGAATAACAAAAGTGTCCCTTAAGTTTTCCTGTGAGACTCTACATGTTATAGTGTAGCCATAGGATAAGCATTTGTCCAATAAAGTCAGCATGGAAGGGAATAGACTGAATGGTTCTATAAATAACATTATAAATATTTGAATTGTGGTTAAATATTATTTAAATTACTAGATATTTGGCAAGCACTTATTACAAGCCGAATATTTTGGACAATTTTGGTGTAAATATGGATAAAATGCGAGAATTCTTTAATAAATTAATTAATAAGGGGTCGGAAGAAGAATCCGATAAAAAAGTTTATTCAGAGTCAAAAGTGAAAACACGAGATATAATTAATGAATTCAGTGATATTTTTGGTAAAAATAATCGTAAAATAAACGCTAATATAATCTCTAAAATGGAAAGTGCATTCAAACTACACAAACCTTCATTTGTCACAAATTCAACTGAATATAAACTAATGTATAATTATTTCAGACAAATAATTAAACATCAAAATCAGTAATGAATTGCATTAAAAGAAGAATTCATAAATCAATTAACATTTAAAATATTTTACAACAGATTTAACCAAACGATTGATTCGTATTGTGAGCCACCGATAGAGCGAATACACAGTGGGAGCACTTGTATGTCATGTCAACGTTTGGGAATTGTTGATACGGCGGACAATGTTCCACAACACTTAAACCAAAAGCGCTATTTGTTATTAACAATCATGATTATTTGTTTATTCCTCTTTAATGCTGTTATATGCCCAATTCGTTATTACATAATCTATCATAACCCAGTGTGATTTATATTTCGAATAACGTTTTATAAATAATTTCGTGATTTCTAATCTAGAATATAATTCTACATTATTATACACCTTACATTATATACGATGACTAGTCCTGACTATAGTCAAAGGTCTGAGTGGTGTTCACATCCCGAGTCTGGGGAAATACGTGTAACTGCTTAACATAATATAACCAAGTTTATATTAACAGAAAATTGAAATTAAAAAAAAGTAAAAATAAATAACTTATAATTGTATAGAAAATACATTTTATTAATTTACGTGTAAATATAAAAAACATAGTTTATAATTAAATTAGATATAACAGTAGTCTTAAATATACAAATGTAAATGTAAAACAAAAAATAAAATAAAGTACAAACATAATTCAAATGATAGGACCGGGACTTAGAAAACCCTATTGGAGTACTGGGTGTCGACGGCAGTACTGGTCGGGCGGGTCTGTCGGTCCACACGTGGTCTGTGCGCAAACAGACTGCGCTTGTGTTGGGACAACATATGGGATAAGTCTTGAGGTATGGGGTGTGACCAGAATAATTGGTGATCAAGTGCTAAATGTGAGTCCAATCGTATCTGTGAATCAAGTACTAGGAGTTTGTCCAACAGGTCCAGAGCAAGCGGACACTGTATGCCTGGTCTCAGCCGCTCCTTAACCTTCCGACTCCGATTCATCGCCAAAACCATTTTGTTGTACAGATCCAGGCGTTGGACACCCGGCCACACATCTGGTGTGATTGAACCGCACAGTTGACTGATTAGGTTGAGTTGCATCTGATCTGTGGTGCCGGCTATTATTGGGTTCCGGGTCCACATCTATAAGTGTGAGTCCCATAAAACACAATATTAAAAACAATATTAAAGCCATAGTCTACTGATACCCCTCCCAATGGGCCGATCGGGCATTGGATCAGGTGTTTACGGCACACATACCTCAGCCGTTATACAACCGGCGCCCCACAGGTCAACGGGTGAGCCGTAATTACGTTTGCCCAGCAATAGCTCCGGCGGCCGACACCACAGAGTGACCACTTTATTGGTGTAGCGTTTGGTTGTATTACCTGAGCTGATGGCTCGGGCGAGTCCAAAGTCGGCCAGTTTTAAGACCCCGTTTTTGGTGATCAAAATGTTGGCCGCTTTCATGTCCCGATGCAATATCTTCTGCGAGTGTATGAAAAACAAGGCGTTCAACAGCTGTTGCATCACTTTCTTGATCTCTCCCATCGAGAAACGGACCGTACGGTTGGCCAGTA